AAAACTTGGGGCTCTAGCTCAGGTCTCCTGAGTCCAAATCTTGGAGCTACTTTGCTTGCATCACCCTGTCTTTTGTTTCATACAAATGTGTAAGTTTGAGTGTGTCTCTTTGAAATGGAGACCAGTTCTCTGTGGCCTTCAAATCCCTCATTTTATTCCAAACTATCACGGAGTCACTCCCTCTACGAGCTCTTTTCCATGCCGACAAGCTCCAATTCTTTCAGCCTTGATGCCCTCCAAAGTCCCTCTCAGCTCTAAATCCTGAGATTCAGCTAAGCCTCAGGGTCTCCCACTGGGAAATGTGAGTCTTTGGGGGTGGGATGTCTCTGCTGAATGCCGTCTGTGTTCTCTGCCATCTCAGGGAGGGGGGCACAGAGTGAGTGCCATGCTGGGGGGGTGATCCAAGCAAAGCAAAGCACATAGGTAGAATACCCACCCCTTGCCCAATGTTGTTCTGGGTCCTGTGGGATCTGGGGGACACAGCTTGGTACAATTGAAGGGCTCCAGGAATAAAAAGGCCTGGGTTCAAAGCCCTCTGCCGCTGTTTACTGGCTCTGACTTAGACTTTGGGCATGTGACCCAGCAGTGAAATGAAAGTGATGGACTATATGGCCTGAAGTCCCCTCCAGCCAATCTGTTAGCCCAGAGGAGGGGAACCGTCAGCCTCGAGGCCACATGTGGCCCTCTAGGTCCTCAAGTGTGGCCCTTTGACTGAATTCAGACTTCATAGAACAAATCCCCTCAATAAAAGCACCTAACCTATGATCTCCTTGGAGACCCCGATGGATAGGGCTCAATAAGTGTGTGTTGAATGAATGAATGAATGAATCTCCTTTTTCAGTTCTTACCCTGGGGCTTTTGTCTTCGCCTATTGCTGATTTTCTTTCATTTTATTCCCAAATCTTCGTCTTTATGAGGTTTTTTTGCTCACTGCCATTCCATTTAGTAATTTCTGCCTTCCTATGAATTCCCTCCTGCTGAGTCTATCTTTCTTCCACCCACACATCCATAGCTATCCCTTCCCAGCATGTCTTCTAACCCTTCTCCTGGTTTCCCCTTCCTCCCTCCTTCCTCCCTCCCTCCCCTTTCTTCTTTCAGTGTTCTGTGCTGAGGCAGACTGAGCACTATCTATTCCCCAGGTTACTCAGAAATTCATCCAAAGTTGATTCTAGTTTTTTGCCCTCTACTGTGGTCAAATTCTTACTCTTGTCATTTTCTTATTTAGGAGACCTTGGACAAGTCATTTCCCATCTCTGAGTCTCAATTTCCTCATCTGTTAAGTGGGAGTATTGTTCCCTCTAGATCACCTCTGAGGTTCCTGTCAGATCTAAATCCGTGGTCTTTTCCCAGTCACTTACGTCTTTATGTTTCTCAGAACCGCAGAATCTCAGAGTCAGAAGGGACCCCTGGACCAGTTAATCCAGGGGTTCTTCACCTTTCCTGAACCATGATTCTCTTTGGCAGTCTGGGGAAGTCTATGGATCACTTCTCAGAATCATGTTTTTCAATAATTGAGGGAAATAGTAAATGTCAATCAGAGGTTAGTGAAAGTACGCCTTTAGACCATCAGGCAAGGTCTACTCCCAACAAATGTGGGAGACATGCCTGGCACATTGTTGTTACAGTTCCTGTTTACTGATTCAGTCGCGTCGAACTCTTTGTGATCCCATGGAACACAGCACACCAATAATGTCCCTGAGGTTTTCTTGGTAAAGACACCAGAGTGGTTGCCATTTCCTTCTGCAGTGAATTAAGGCAAACAGAGGTTAAGTGACTTGCCCAAGGTCATGCAGTTAGTAAGTGTCTGAGGCCCAATTTGAACTCAGGTCTTCCTGAGTCCAGGCCCAGTGCTTTATCTATTGAGCAACCTATCTGCTTCCCCCTAGTACAAAGTAGATGCTTAATAAAATCCTTATTGATTATAATCAAACTCTGCCTTACAGTCATGAAACCTTTCTGAACATAGCTAATCTGACTTTCCATGTAGTATAGCTTGTGCCTGGGGGTCTTCACTGCTGTGTCCTCCCCCATCCCACAAAAATGTTTCATCTAACACTTGTATTTGGTAGGAATCTTTGGACTGGTTTTAAAGTCCTAACAGAAAGTGTGTGTGTGTGTGTGTGTGTGTGTGTGTGTGTGTGTGTGTGTGTGTGTGTCCCCTTCCAAACTAGAAAGACCTGCAGAGAAAATGTGTGAATATGTTTATCATCTAAGTTCCAGCCTTGATCAGTTGGGAGAGGTCCATCACCGGCTCGGCCCTGGAGTGATGAAATTTTCAGCCCCTGTAACAACCAAAGACCCCGTTTCCTGAGGTACAAAGGGTAGAAGAAATCCTTTCACCAAAGCACTTGTGGATTCATGAAAAGTAAGCTATAGGCTCAGCCTCAAAGAGGCTGGATCACCTGCAAAGATCTCTCCCAGGGTCAGCTCCCCGGCAGCCTGAAAAGCCGGCCTGAGGCATGGCCACAACATCTGGTCATTCATCCCCCAGGTGCCTCAGTCACCCAAGATTCACTTGGACAAGAGGAGCTCAAGACCTCAGCAGTCTCCTTCCCTCCAGGGTGAAGAGCAGGGAAGCTGTAGGAGTCTCATCCATGGAGACCTTGCTGGCAGCTGCCATGGCCCCTCCCATGTACATGGCGGAAGGAGGCTTTTCAAGAGACCCAGGAATGATTGGCTGATTTCCCCTTTCAGACCTAGAACTTCCCAAGTTATCCAGGTTCTCCCCTAGTCTTGTGTGAGGCACTAAAACATATCCCTAAAGGAAACTGAAAATATGAGCTCGTTTTGTTTCTGAAAAACTGATACAGGATTATCAAAGCTTGGGGAAGGTTTGGGTTCCTTTTTTTCTTTTTTATATAGGTGGTAGAAAAAAAGACCATAAGCCTGAAAGAGTACATTATGTACATGTATGTGACACGTGGTCTTGTGTGTGTGTGTGTGTGTGTGTTTTACAATTGTTTTTAAATCCCCGGGGTGTCCTTCCCAAGCCTCTTAGAAACATCTCCAAAGGAGGACACACTATAACGGCGATGAATACTTTGTATCGAGAAAGCTCCTTACAGATGAAAAGCCTCTGATGAGCCCTTGACAGTTTGTCACCTGCTTTCACGTCTATCGCCTCATTTGGTCAACTCTCAAGCCTAAGGGTCTATCTGCATCCCCATTTCACTGATGAAGAGAAAAGAGTGGAGTCCTGTCTAAAGGCAAAGGGTACCTGATTTTCTTAGAGCCAACCACCTCTTCCTACAGATGAGAAAAATGAGGCCTAGGGACAGGAAGCGACTGCCCAGGGTCACACAGATAAGAAAGCATCCAGGGTGAGATTTGAACCCAGACCCTCTGACTCCCAAGCCCCTGGTGGGAATCCCATTTCTGCTATTTGCTTCTTTCTCTGGGCCCCTTTCAGAGACTAAGCTATGAACCAGAGGTAGCTCTGAGCTCTCCATCCAATTCTCAGACTGGGATTCTAGGGAATAGGCAGAACATCTCTGTGCCTCAGCTTCTCGGTGAATAAATGACCTGTGGCCTCTCCTTGCCTTTCCCCCAGGCTTTTCAAGCAGCGTATAGCAGCAGAATCTCGCGGACCAACATCCTTCACAGGGACATGCTGAGGTTTGTCCTTTCCTGCCATCCAGGCCAGGGTGTGGACTTCCATGAGCAGCTGCCTCCATGAAGTCCTCCCAGACTGCTCTCCCTCTAGCAGCAGGGTCTGAACCACAAGAGGGAGCCCTCCATTCTCTGCTCCCTTTATTTCCTCATTATTGTTGGGTGGTTGTTAATCAGGTCTCCCGATTTAAAGATCCCTTACAAAGGGAAAGGTGCTGTGGGCTGCTGGAACAAGAGCCAGCAGCCCAGGCTTTGGGGTCAGAGGACCTGGGTTCAAATCCTACCTCGGCCATGTATTGCCTGAGTCATCATGGGCAGCTTACTTCAGCTCTACCAAATGGGGAGGTTGGACAAGAAGACCCATAAAGGGGCTTCCTGGGAAGTCCTGCCTTTGATCCTTTGGCCTCAGGGAGGTCACTTTACCAGCCTGGGCCTCAGTGTCCTTACCTGCCAAATGAAAGTGTTGGAGCAGATCACCTCTGAGACCCCTTTGAACTGTCTCTGTCTCTCTGTCTTTCTATCTCTCTGTCTCTTTCTTTCTCTTCCTCTCTCTCCCTTTCTCCCTCTCTCCTCTCTCTGTCTCTCTGTCTCTCTCTGTCTCTCTGTCTCTCTGTCTCTCTCTCTGTCTCTCTGTCTCTCTGTCTCTCTCTCTGTCTCTCTGTCTCTCTGTCTCTCTGTCTCTCTCTCTCTCTGTCTCTCTGTCTCTCTGTCTCTCTCTCTCCCTCTCTCTCTCTCCTCTCTCTGTCTCTCCCTCTGTCTCTCTCTCTGTCTCTCTGTCTCTCTGTCTCTCTCTCTGTCTCTCTGTCTCTCTCTCTCTGTCTCTGTCTCTCTCTGTCTCTCTGTCTCTCTGTCTCTCTGTCTCTCTCTCTCCCTCTCTCTCTCTCCTCTCTCTGTCTCTCCCTCTGTCTCTCTCTCTCTGTCTCTCTGTCTCTCTTTCTCTCTCTCTCTCTCCCCCTCTCCCTCTCCTTCTCTCTCTGTTTCTGTCTCTGTCTCTGTCTCTGTCTCTCTCCCTCTCTCTGTCTCTCTGTCTCTCTGTCTCTCTGTCTTTCTCTCTCTCTCTCTCTCTCTCTCTCTCTCTCTCTCTCTCTCTCTCTCTCTCTCTCTCATCCCAGACAAAGTAGTATAAAAGTGTCCATTGTTGTTATTAGTCTTTTCACTCCCCTGACCGTTTCCTACCTATCCTTGGCACTCAGTCGCACCCTTTGATCAATGTGCTGATCTCCATTCTGAGCCCAATTCCCAAAAGCCTTTTGGCAGGGTTGGATTCAGTGCCCAAGCAGGCCCCCTCGCCCACCCAGCCTGCTGATCACCCTCCTGATGGAGGACTCTCATCAGGCTGGAGCCTGATGGAACTTGGAGAAGAGCCCTGCCCGTGCGGGCTCCCCACATACCTGGTGCCGGTCGTGGTGCCCAGAGAAGCAGCCCAATGCAGAAGACAACCGCATTCCCCCAAAAGGGCCTCATGGCCACCGTGGCAGGGTGGGATCCTTGGGGGCCAGCCTCCTTAGACCCTGGGTGTGGGACCAGCTCTACCTCCCAGAGCACGGAGGGTCCTCACCCTCAGCCCTATGAGACACCAGTAGGTAATGGAAAGGAAACAAGCCCCATTTCAACAGCGAGGGAAGCCCTGGCAGGGCCCCCGCCCCCTCATCCTCCGCCCCCTGCTCTTCCTCCTACCACTGGTTCTCATCATCTCACCCCAAGGCCTGGAAAAAGAAAGAAAAAACCGACAGTTTCTGGCAGCTCTGCTCCACCAAAGAGAGCGGAGGAAAGGGGGCCTTGAAAGGAGATGGTAACAGACAGAGTGGAAGAAACCACAAGGGAAAGCAGGAGCTGCATTTCCTGGGCATGCTGACATGCTCTGAGCCCTGTGATGTGTGTGCCTTTGCGTGTGTGAGAGAGAGAGATCTGAGTTTACAGGTAGCATATCACTGTCCCTTCTCTCCTTTCTGTTTCCTTTCCAAGGCTCTGACTCTGTTGGGGCCTCAGATGGAAGAGGTGAGGTGGATGGATGGATACACACACACACACACACACACACACACACACACACAGCATCACGCATACAGTGTCAACAAACGATAGTGCAGAGACACACAGCTGCTGACACTCACCTAGTAGACATGTCCAATCACATGACACCTATAAACACACAGGTGCACAGATTCAATCATACCAGGATGTACACACAGATGCCCAGGCACACACACATACTCACACAGGCATACAACTAGGACACAGCTACATGACCACAGATACTCATGACACAGAGATGCTGGCCTATACATAGAGCCAGTCAGGGCTTCCTGACTCCCATGGACCACCCCACTCCATCCCCAAAGCCCTCGAGCCTTCATCCTTCCTCTCAGGGCCCCCTTCTCAGACCCAGCTCATCTCTGCTACCCACTGCACTGGGCAGTAAATAGCATTTGGGTGCCTAAGACTCAGACTATTGGGAAAGAAAAAGACAGGTGACTAATCCCACCACTGGAAATAAACTCAACCAAAACCTACCTGTCCCATGTCCCTCCTACCTCGATGTGCAAAAACTGTCTGCAAACCCAATTTTTAGTCAAGAGGCCTGGTGGGGAAGGAGGGATTTCAGGCTAATACTTTGGAGTGAATATTAAGTAACTTGATTTGACATGTTTCTTCTGACCCTGGAGGACTGAAGGGAGGGATGGAGATTTGGACTCAGTCTTAAGGGAAAAGGATTGTGGAAGTTTGTAGAATTAAACACTTGAAATGGGAAAGGACCTCTGAGGTCACTTGGTCCAGCGCCCCTCACTTTATAGACAAGGAAACAGAGCCAGAGAGGGAAAGTGACCCACTTGCCTTGAATCACACAAGTAGAAAGTGACAAGAATAGGGATTAGAAGCCAGGTTCTCTTCACTCCAGATCCCAAACTTGTTCTCCTGCATGACATGTCAAGAACCCCACTACTACTGCTCCCCAAAAAAATTCATCCTTAAAACCTCAGGAGCGAGCTCCCCAGCTACTCTCTTACTCTGGAATGAACAGAGACCAGGGCCTAGAAGAAAGCATAGAAATGTAACTAGATATGCAGATGCAATTAAAAGGATGGGTCTCCCCAACTCTAGTACCATTGGGAGACAAGAGAATACCTATGGTTCTAGGATCAGAAAACAGTAAGATTCAAAGGGAGCCAGGCATCCAATCCAGGGACAGATTGGGAGAAGCTGGGTGTCAAGAGACATGAAGGTCACTCAGGTTGTCAAGAGAGAAGAAGGGATTCTTGGGGAGATTCAGGCTAGCTCCCTGCCCTCAGAATCCCAGGAGGTAGAGTCAGAAAGGACCTCAGTGCTCTAGAGTCTAATCCACACCTGAACAAGAGTCCTTCAGCAGTATCTGCAATGAGTGGTCATCTAGCTTCTACCTGAAGAACCCCAGCAAAAAGGAGTCCCTCTCCTTCTGGCACAGCGCATTCCACCTCAGGGCAATGGGTAGTGCAGGAGAGATGGTTTCTGAGCAAGCTTTTAGCCCAGAAAGCCCAGGACACAATGAGAGAATGTAAGGAGTCAACAGCAAAGGGTCACACTATAAGAATGGCTCTTTACCCTCTATCCATTTCTTAAGTGTGAAAGCATTTCCTTGATTAAACACCGTTGAACAGTATCAATGGACCACATCCCTGGTGGACCTCAAAAGGTTGAGTCCATCAGCTCTGAGGGAGTTCAGGAAGGAAGCCACTTTGCAGAATACAACCCTTGCACCTATGCCAGAGGGACATGTGCTCTCCCTCCCCTCCCCCACTGGCCATGGCATTTTTTGATAGAGATACAAGTCAATTCGAAAGAGTTAGACCTAGATGAGTGAGCAGAGATTCATATTTTCCAGATATACATGGACACAGGCAGTCATTTGAGGCCAGAAGCGTCTTTAAGGTAAATGATCTCTGACAGCAGAGAAAAGAGGTGATCATGGCTTCGAAAGGAATCTGTCTCAAGAGTTAAGCTGCAGAGGAGACTCCAAGAGGAGGGAATAAACATCAAGATTTTATAATACCAGAGAGTATAGCTGCCTTTGCCATGTAGGTTCCCTATGTGCTTGCCTCACTACCATTCTACTCCAAGTTTGTTTCCACTCCTCCCATGGACACTGTGTATATTTGTGGAAGACTCTTCCACAGGTTTTTGTGAGGGGAGGAAGAGGGAATGTTTTGTATCTACTGTTCTTACTATGCAATCTTAATAAATGCCTTCCCTATGAGTTACTTGTGTCTACTAGCTGGCAGTGAAAAGGAAGCTCACTGATAGGGGCTCATAGTCTAAGAAGTATAGTTCCACAGGATCCTCTAGAATTGATAAGAGTAGAACTGTCCTCTAGGCATTCATCCATGACAGTGCTACAGTGAAGCTTTCCCTAACATCAAGCCTAAATTTATACCCTTGCAACTTCAACCCATTGTTCTTACTTCTTCTCTCTGCCAAATAAAACAAGTCTGATCCTTTTTCAGTATGATAGTCCTTCAAATACTTGATGATAGCTAACATGTCTGTCCTGAATCTTCTCTTCTCCATACCAAGCATCCCCAATTCCATCCTCAAATGGCATGGACTCCAGGCCTCTGATTGGCCAGGTCACCCTCTTCTGGACACTTTCCAGCTCATTACTGTCTTCTTTACACAGTGGTACCCAGAACTCAATATAATACTCCAGAAATTATCTGGCTAGGACAGGGTGCAAAGAGATGATCACTTCTTTCTTCCTGAATGCTATCTATGCCTCTCAATGCAGCCCAAGCTCATGTGACCCACATCACACTGATGACTCATATTGAGCTTACAATCCACTAAGATCCCTGGATCTTTTTCAAGCCAACTGCTATCTAGCCATGCTCCCCCAATCCTGTACTTGTGAAGTTGATTATCTAAACCCAATGTAAGACTTGACATTTGCCCATATCGAATTTCCCCTTATTAGATCTGTCCCAATACTAGAACCCCTAGATCTTTTGGGACCCCAGACTGTATCCTTTCCTTTAGGAACGGTTCCTCCCAGCTTGGTGTCACTTGAAAATTTGATGAGCAAGCCATCTAAAACTTTCTTCAAGTTACTGATTACAAATGGTAATAACTTAGGCTTCAACCCAGAACCCTGGCACTCTACTGGAGGCCTCTAGCTAAACTGACATCTACCTATGTCTGACATTCGTCCTCCATCAGCAGTGGCAGTATAGACAGAAAGGTGGTCTCTGGGAGCTGGGAAGACCCAGACTTCCTAATCCTCTGCATTTACTCTGTACAGATGCATAAATACTTATCTGTATACATGCTATATTTATCACCAGTAGAAGGTGAGCTCTTTGAGGCAGTGACTGTCCCAGCTTTGTTTTCGTATCCCCAGACCCTAGCACGGTGTCTACTGCATAGTAGGTGCTTAATAAATGCATGCGGAATTGATTTCAATGTGGGTATCATCCCCATCTTGCTGACAGGGACACTGGAGCTCAAGGAGTCAGATGATCTCCACAGCCATAGAGTTAGAAAGCAATGAACCCAAGATTTGCATCCAGGTCTTCTGCCTTCTCTCAAGGGCATCCCTCCAGAACAAGGGACTTCAAATTTTTTAGGTCATGCATCCCTATTGGTAGAAAATATCTGAGCACACATCCTCATTGAATGTATATTTATTTACAATCATATAAACTACCATTGTACTAATATGTTGTGTACATTGTGAACCACACTGAAAAGTAGAAATTAAAAAGCATGAAATAAAGATGATGTGAACAATACCTGCTTATTCTATGTTATTTATTAATGGTACAAAAACATTTTGCTCTCCACAAGTCAGGTCAACATTCATTTATTAAGTGCCTACTGTATGCCAGGTACTGGACTAAGCACTAGAGATAAAAAAAAAAAGGTAAAAAACAGTCCCTCCCTTCAAGGAGCTCACAGTCTAATGGAAGAGACAATACTCAAACAACTATGTAAAAATAAGACATAAACAAGGTAAATTGGAGATAATCAAGAGAGGAAGGGCATAGGCATTAAAAGGGATCATGGGTAGGCTTCCTGTAGAAAGTGAGATTTCAGCTGGGACTCGAAGGAAGCCAGAGAAGGCAAGAGGAGGAGATGAGAAGTGAGACCATTCCAGGCATGTGGGACAGCCAGAGAAAATGTATGGCTTTAGAAGATGAGAGTGTCTAGTATGAGTAACGAGAAAGCCAAGCTTGCTAGATTGGCTATGATGAGGAGTGGAATAACATGTAAGAAGATTGGAAATTTAGGAAGCATCTGGTTATGAAGAGCCTTAAAAACCATAGAGAGAGTCTTACATTTAGGGAGCCAATGGGAATTATTGACTAGGAGAGTGATCTGGCCATGTCTGCCCATTGGCCACTGAGTGGCGAATGGGCTAGAGTGAGGAAAGACACATGGCAGACAGGCCCACCATCAGGCTACTGTAATAGTACAGGCATAAGGTGAGGAGGGCCTCTCATTAAAATGATTCATTAATCCTAAGAATTCATCATATTTTGTGAGAGCAATGTGGTTACATCTGTTCCATCATTTTGAACATCTTGGTTTAACAAGATGTGACAGCAATTTGAAGGCCTGGCTAGCTGGGGAGACAAAGATACCTCACAGAGATATGTAGATATAAATGGAAGAAATGTATCATGGGCTGAGTTTACTAAATCATGCTACTTGCTACTCCATGCCCTCCA